TTGTAAAATTAACTTGTTAAACCTAACCTAACTTAACCAAACTAACCTAAACTAACTAATATACTCTTATTTAATAATATTATTTGTAATATTTACTAATTTAATGTATTTAAAGCAAATTAAATTAAAAATTTTCGAGCAAATGTCTTTCGAGCAAGTGTCTTTCGAGCAAATGTCTTTCGAGCAAATGTCCTTCGAGCAAATGTTTTCGAGCAAATGTCTGCTTCCCCAATAAAACATAACAACTGAACCCATTGTCGTATCGATCATCTCAGCGATTGACATAAAACCCATGTTTTCTTTGCTTTTAAATTAATGATTGTTTAAAGCATTTTCGAAAGGGTTTTAACGCAAATTTATATTTATTAGTTATGTTATAATTATTATTAAAACTCATTATTATTTGATATTAAAAATTTGATAAAATATTTATTTATAGTTTTATTGGTTTTAATGTTTTTTAAATATAATGTTAAAAGTTAAGAGATGCGGGCAGCTGTGATAATATATTGATATTCTAAATTATATGATTATATATTGTTTTTTATTAATTTATTGAATGAATTTATTTCCGCTAAAAGTTAATTGAATTGAATTAATATGAATTGCAAAACAGGCACAAAACAGGTATAGAGTTGCGCTAAACACCAAATTCTATAGAGTGAAAGCCAAACCGTGGAACCGATTCACGCATTTGTACTGGGCTAGGCAACTATCGTCTAGGTGAAATAGCTGTTGACAACGGTGGTCGCGAGGTTACTCACAAAGTGATTACAGACGTAGGCAGAGTGGTTAGCTATAGTGAGGTGTTTCAGGAGTTAACTAATAAATTTATTGTTTTGTATTAATAATCATAAATCCCTTTAATTATGTTATGAATTACTGTATTTTCAAATCATTTGATTGTTTTTTGGTTTGATTATTTATTCTTTAAATTTAGATTAAATAAAATAATAAAAAGGTGTTATTTTCTCAATAATTTATTTAAAATTGATTTAAAGCACAAAATTGATAGAAATATCATAGAATTGATTGATAGACAGACTAGTGGTTTGAAAATAAGCGGCGCTTAGATTGACTTGATTTTCGCTAATTGTTTACCAATTTTAGGAACCAATTGTGTAGAAGAAAAACATTTTGCTTATTAACAATATATAAATTACATCAACATTTGAATCAGTCGTTTAAATAATGTAAATATATTACAATTACTCAACAATTATCTAATTCTTGAGAATACATGTGATATTCAGAGATCATCATTGGTTGAGCCGATGTCTCGAATACCACTTCTTGTGTTATGTTTGTATTGAAAATCGAGTCATTATTTTGAATGTGTGTCCAGTCGTCTAAATTGCATGCTATTTGTTGGTTGTCTTCCTTATCGATGGGCTGTAAGTCATCCAAAGAAGTGACGATATATTCATCACTTTGTGTTGAGTCAGCGTTTTGTTGGCTTTCATCCAAAATGTTGTCCGAAATATTGTGTGTATTTAACGGCCAAACGGTTTCATTATTTGGTATAATTATCTCTTTGGATGTCTTGATCGGTGTCTCCAAATCGAGTATATCTCTCGCGTCACTGATTTCTAAATTATCTAAATATATGGCTTCAGAGGAGGCGTCGCTCATCTCTTGAGATTCATTCTTTGGCACAATCGGCCATTCATTCTGTCTTTCCTCATAATTCACATAATTATATCCATTGTATGAATTCTCGTCGTAATACTCATGAGGAGTGTTATATGAATACTCAACCCAATGATTGCCACAGTTATCACTCTTATAGGGCTGTGTCTCATAATCTATACAATCAAATGTTTGAATACAAGTATTACTTAAACAATAAGATTTTAAAATATATTTTATCGTCAAAATCTCATGTATTGAACAAATGGCACAAATAAATAGAAGAAATCTTACAAATATTATTGTCAAAAGAGTTGCCGTATTCGCGATACGGTTCCATATCATCCATAACTTAAAATATATTTTATCGTCAAAATCTCATGTATTGAACAAATGGCACAAATAAATAGAAGAAATCTTACAAATATTATTGTCAAAAGAGTTGCCGTATTCGCGATACGGTTCCATATCATCCATAACCCCAAATTCATATTTGTTTTCCTAACAGATATTAACAATTATAAGAAATACTGTGATATTACATGTAATAATGCGAGTAAAACCTCATTGTTTGACGGTATCATTGTATGGATCACATTATCGGCGTGAATGTCTATAGCGCTGGACATTGCATTTGCTATATTAGACGCGTCCATCTGTTGCATGCGTTCATTATTTATGATTTAATAGATTTATATTTAAGCATAAATCAAATATTTGATTACCTGAAGAATAGGCCCGCAATCATTGTTATTATGAGTTGAGTAGTGATTTGAATGTCTTATTGGGAAATGACTGAAATCCTGTTCATTATAGGATTCATAGGAATCTGGTATAAAATTATTAGTTGTATTGACGTATGTGTCGTATGTATAACAATTGCATTCAGTTTGAGGGAAACCAGAATATTCTTTGCATTCTTTATATGGTAAACATATTGAAAGAATATTTAATATTGAATATATTGAAGAATCGGTTACAAAATAGTTAC